AATTATACATAGATTTTTTTCCTTCTGAGGCTATCATTTATTTCCCTTAACCTTTCATCGTGGTCTTTTGTTTTTCTCTTTTTTTCCTCAGCTTCCTTCCTTGTCATCAACTTGCCTTCTATTGTCACTCACTCGTTCTTCTACCTCATTAACTCTTGTCATTAGGACCTCCAGTTTGGATTGCATCTCATTTAATTGATTTTTAATTTTGGCCTGATTAGATCTAAATTCTGCAGTCACGAAGTCTCTTGAATCCTTTATGCTTTTTTCCAGGGCCACCAGTAGCTTTATAATTGTGCATCTGAATTGGCTTCCTGACATCGAATGTAATCCAAATTCTGTAACTCTGTGGCAAAGAGTACTGTTTCTGATTCTCTTGTGGTGAGTTCTTCCTTCTAGTCATTTTGCTCAGTGCAGAGTGGCTGTATGAGTGGGCTGAATCAAGAATATCAACCACGATATAAGTATGTTTCAGTCTAGATGATTCTATGAGGTCAGAGACCAGAAATTGAAAACAAAGATCAGAATGAAATAAAACAAAAGGACCACTAAAGTGAAAAACATATTTTAAAACAAAGCAGTAAAAAATAAAAGGCCAAGAATCCCAAAGAAGAAATAAAGAAAAAAGAAAAGAGAAAAAAAAAAAAGCAAAAGTAAAGAGGAAAAAAAAAAAAGAAAAGAAAAAGAGAAATACAAGGGAGGGACTGGGAGGTGGTGGTAGTGACAAGTTGTAGTGGATATCTAAGTGGATATCTAAGTGTAGTGGATATCTACCTGAGGGATCCTAGAGGGTGATCCTCTTGGTTCTGAGTATATTAAGTTTTTATATTAGAAAGATGCTCAGTCCCAAATTTATATAAACCAGAAATACTTGTAGAGGGTCCCAACATTGACCACGAAAACATAAATGAGATAAAAGAAGGGGGGCAGAATGGGAATGAGAAATCTCACAGAATTAACCAGCACTGTATACCACTTGGTTCTAGGTGCATTATGGTCATGTTTTAGAAGGTATTAACTTCTGCCATTGTAGAACAGAATGAGGCAGAGGAAACAAAAAACACAAAACAAACAAACAAAAAAACACCTCTTGTATATCTCCCAAAATTGAGTATGTTGAAGGGAATCTAGAAGTGGAAAATATATCTAGGATCTGTAATTGTAGAAATATGAAACAAAAAGACAGAAACTTAAAAATGAAGAGGTGGTAAAATATTGTAGTTAAGGTGGGAAAAGAAAACAAACTGGAAATTTACAGTCTGATATAAAAACGAGTTGTAATGGAAAAAGGAAGGAAAAAAAAAGGAGGGGTATCCTCTGGTTCTATATACTGTAAATCCCTCGGCCTCCCGTAGAGCTTCCAGTGCTGCTTGGTCAAGGACTTGCTCAATGGAATATTACTCAGCCATTAGAAATGACAAATACCACCATTTGCTTCAACATGGATGGAACTGGAGGGTATTATGCTGAGTGAAGTAAGTCAATCGGCGAAGGACAAACAGTGTATGTTCTCATTCATTTGGGGAATATGAATAATAGTGAAAGGGAATATAAGGGAAGGGAGAAGAAATGTGTGAGAAATATCAGAAAGGGAGACAGAACATGGAAGACTCCTAACTCTGGGAAACGAACTAGGGGTGGTGGAAGGGGAGGAGGGCGGGGGGTGGGGGTGACTGGGTGGCAGGCATTGAGGGGGGCACTTGGGATAAGCACTGGGTGTTATTCTGTATGTTGGCAAACTGAACACCAATAAAAATATATTTATTATTAAAAAAAAAAAAAAGGACTTGCTCTTCCCCTGTCCTTCCAGCTGGTCTTCTGGGGAAGGGGCCTGCTGTGCTGATTCTCGGGTGTGTGTACCTGGAGGAGCTGCCCCACCCCCTGCCAGGTGCACGGCTCGGTGGGAGCTGTTTATCCTGTGATGCCCCTGCTCAGTCCCAGGTACAAGGTAACACAGGAGGAACAACCCCACTGTTGGCAGCCAGCTCTCCAGCTCTGGAGTCAGCTCCCGCAATAACTACCGCAGTCTCCCAGTCCGCACTGGCCTGGATGCTCCGGGGGCGGGGGGTGCTGACCTGCACAGCTTGGGGGCACCCAGTGCCAATAGCCAGCTCACTGTCCTGTGCCCTCCCTGCCTCTGCCTGTCCTGGGGGGAGCGCAGGATCCTGGGCTGTGTCCCCGGCGCCCTGGGATCCGGGGCCTGCGCTGCTGGAATCGCGTTCCTGGTGCGGCCCCCGAAGGCAGCAGGGCGCAGCCCCCTCCGCCCCGAGGCCCGGCCGGCGCGCTCCAACCTTTTACCAAGCTCCGCCCGCAGTGCGTGGTGCGCTCTCCCCCGGGTGCGCCTCCGATGTTAGTGACCCCGGAACCTGGGGCTCCCCTGTCCCTCCTGCGGTCCTGCCCGAGTTCCCTGCTGAGCGCCTTTCCGTCTGGGAAGGATCTGGTATGGATTTTTAAAGTTCCTGCTTCTCCCGGGCTGGGTTTTCCTGTCCCCAAGGCTGTCGCCACCCCTCTTCGCCCGGCTCCTTGGGAGGCCCCTCCCCCACTGGATTCTTTTTTATTTTGTTTTTCCGCCTTCCTACCTTGTTAGAAGTGAAAGCCCTTCTCTCTGTAGCTTTCCAGCTGTTCTCTCTTTAAATCTCAGGTTGGATTCGTAGGTTTTCAGGATGATTTGACAATTATCTAGGGGAGTTGGTGGGGCCGGGTGAGGCGAGGACCCTCCTCCTTCATCAGCTTGCCCCTCCTCTGTCTTCTTCAGTTTTGTTCATCAGTGTTTTAGAGTTTTCAGAGTACAGTTCTTTCACCCCCTTGGTTAAGTTTATTCTCACAGGTTTTATCATTTGGTGCAACTAGTTGTAAGTAGGATTGTTTTCTTAATTTCTCTTTCTGCTACTTCATTTTTCATGTTTAAAAATGCAACAGCTTCTCCATATTGATTTTGTATCCTGCGGCTTACTGATTTCACGTATCAGTTCTAGTAATGTTTTGTTCATATATAAGCTTATTGTAAAATTAAATCAGTGCGTTCTCTGAAGGACAGTTGCATGTCAGTTTGCTTTTTCTTTTTATGTAATGACTTTGCCTCTTATTAAACTTGCAGCAACTGAGTTAAGACCTTTGCGTTTATAGTCACATAAATATATATGTAGAATTAACCCATCATACAGGTATGTATGTATGTACACATACAAGTGTATGTATAAATTCTGATTTAAATTTTTCTGAATCTGATTCCAGTTTTAGAAATTTTGAAATTACTATTCCATCTTATTTGATGCAGCATTGGTATTTAGTTTGTACTGATATTCTTCATTTCATGCCTACTTCAAATCTCTGCTACAGGTGAACCTGTTTGGTTTCATCTTTGTTCATTGATTTGGCAATACTCTAAAACTACCACTGGAAAGAATGGTTTTACATAGCTCTTTTAAAACAATAGCATACAGAAGAGTAGTAGTATAACTGCTTATTTGTATGATTGAAGCAGAAAACTTATATTTAGAGTTAAGAATGCTTTCCAGTTTTTCTAAATGCATCATCATATTTTTCTCTTGAGCCCTGTCGGCTTTATGCTTAAAGAGATCTAGGTATGCACCGAATGCCACATAGTGCAATATCATCCTGAAATTCAGGAGAGTCGGGATCCTATTTCCTCAGTCTGACTTTTATTACTGTCAGTGGTTTCCAGTGTGACTCCTGGTGCCAAGTAGTTAGGAACAATGTTATCATCAGAGAACAGTGCGTGGGTTTTAATGCCTTGTAATGCGAGAGCAGACAAGTCATACTTTCAGAATGAATCTCCAGAGTCATGTGCTATGCTCCATTTGTGTGTGCAGTAGCCTCTGTTGTCCACAGAGAGCTTTGACCTTTCATCAAAAGCTGAGCATGTCCAATACAAGGAGTTATGTTGTTCAGCTGAGTTAGAACTTTTACTTCTTTATACATTCAGCCCAGCTCTTAAACAAAGAATTATTTCAAATGCTTTTATTTCACCGAGATATATTTTTTTTCTCAACTGCTCTAATGCTGCTTTTGTTATGTGTTTGTTAGGTCATAGGCTTTCAGGGACAGCCTATGTGATGACTTTTTATTTTTTAAGATTTTTTTATTAATAAGAGACACACAGAGAGAGGCAGAGACATCGGCAGAGAAAGAATCAGGCTCCCTACTGGGAGCCCTATGTAGGGCTGGATCTCTGTGCCTGGGATCACACTCTGAGCCAAAGGCAGATGCTCAACTGCGGAGCCACCCAGGCATCCCCCTATATGATGATTTTTAACCCTTCTTGACACCATTGGGTTATCTGAAGCTAGCAAGTTCTGGAATTTAGTGGGAAAGTTCTATTCCTATGGTCAGAATTGTCAGGGAGCACTTGAGTTTAGAGGGTTAGATATGATTTGGGTAAAACACAGAAACACCTCAGATCCTACCACTCTATTGCAAAAACTCTGGTTTCTTTTACCTTCTCTTCAGATGAAGATTTTGTAGGACACAGAGGCAAGCAGGTAGGTTTATTCTGGACAGAGCAGCAAATATTTCACAAGTAGATTAACTCACACTCTTTTTATAGAATCAGTTGGTGAGAGTATTTATGGAAACGATCTGTAGTCATCCATGATCTAAAGTCAGAATGGATAGAAGAGAGACATATCCTTTTAAAGTTCTTTCTCAGCAACTTCATAATTTGTCCCTGGAGGATATTTCTAAGCACTTTTTTCTTGGCATGTTTAAAAACTTTGGTCTTCTTTTTCTAATAAAGAAGTTTTAATAGCCTTTCAAAATGCTGAATTTGCATTTTTAATAGTTTCTTTCCTGCTTGAGCATTTCTGCCTCTTTATAATTAGAATATTTCAAAATAGAGCTTATGGGTACTTTTTCATATTTCTGTCAAAATGATGCTGTATTTTAACAATATAATATTAAATAAGTTTTAAAAAGTAATGATAGACTAAATAGAAATTTTCATTCAAAGGGTTTATTCAAGTTTTTATATATGGACAATTAACTCTTTAAGCAGGCTCATATATCATTTGTCTGAGAAGAAACTAAAGTTAGAAGGAGCCCAACAAATTACACAGGTATGAATATTTTTGTTAATAGGATTTGACTAACATATATTCTCTAGATCTGGAGAGGTGACATTTTAGATTTAGACATGATCTGGAGTAGTGATTTAATGTTTTATTATATTTCATTTTGATATGTGATTTTATATATGTTAAGTTTTAAATCTACTTTGGGAATTTTGTTAAGTTCTCTTTGTAATTCATTGTTTCAAGATAAAAGCTAAAGAGAACAAATGTTAAATCTGTAGAGGAACTGTAAATCTTTGGATAAGAAAAGGAATGTTAAGACCTTGTATTGACCAGTAATTGCTGTCTACAAAAATGATTTTGTCCTTTGTGTTAGAAAAATATTTCCACTAAATAAAAAAGTGTATTTAAAATTTTTTTCAATTAAAGAATTTAATTCTTATTGAATTCCTATTCTAATGTAAATTTTTGAGTTGGACCAAGGGGCAGAACCCATTTCTGGTGAAGAAATTACACATAAAAAGTTTAGCTCTGGTCACAAGGAGGGACTACTTTGTGTTCATCCTACTCTTTTCTACATAACTTATACCTTTTGCAAAAAGACTAAGCTGAGACCCAGTAGCATCTCTTCTGTGATCCCAAAGGACTAGCTACTCTCCTTTCCGTTGCTAGGTGATATTCATCCCAAAGGAGAATTCCTAGATCATTGTAGTAGGACTAGGGAAGGAAAGAAGGAAGAAAACTGTTGTTACTAGAACTCCCTCCCCCTGATTCCTATAATGTAGTCTATTTATTAAGAGTTCAATTGATATTATAATTAATACTTAACTCAGTTTTCCCACATGGGTGGACTAAAAAGAATTGGCATGAGCTGTTTTCTCAACTCCTTTGTTTCTCTAGCTAAACTTGGGTGTAATCTGAAACAATTAGTACCATTTACCTAAAATATGTAGACAGAGGAGAATTTTGGTAACTGTACTTTTTTATTATCTGGGATTTATAATTTAAACCATATAACATGTAATAATGTCAAAGTATATGATATAATAACATCCTCAAATCTGTGGGTTTATGTGCTATATTTGTTAATCCTCACAGGGAAATATTCTGATTAATTTGAGAATTTAATAAGGGGACCAATCATAAATGTCTGGGCACAGTACGAGAGAAATTATAAAAGATTATAGAGTGCCCTGAACTGGTAACATTAGTATCTAGGCTGGAAAGGGAAAGGTAAAAGTGATTTAATGAAGAAAGGGAGAGGGAGAGAGAAAGTGAGGAGAAAGCTATCGGCAAAGGATTTTATAGCTGCTGTGAGCCTTGGCAGAGACTGATAGGTTGAACCAACTCTTCAGTGAAGGAAATGGAGGAACCTCATTCTTCTGCCTTTTTCAGATCTACTGACAAGTATACTCCATTTGCTGAATCCAACCAAAGTAAAAAAGCAAGGTTATCCATTATTGCAGTCCATTTGGACTGGACTTGAGGTATAGCATAGGGTGGAAAAAAGTGAAGATCTAGAATAACAAATAGAAAATATCAGAATAATATGTAATTTAAAATTTGAAGATTCAAAAGATGCTGAAATATTTTTGAATGTTTATGAATAATTGGCATGAGCATCAGTTCTTATGTACTAATATTTTAGGACATAATTCTAAATATGTAATAACTCACCAGTAATTCTGGAACTTGCTTTATTTAATTAATTCTGAATATCTATCTATCTTATTTGGCATCTTGTTATAAAATGAAGGATTGCAATAGCATCCACAGAAAAAAACAATAACCTCCTATCTTGCTTCTAGTTATTTACTTTTTTTATTTGAAGTTTTTATTTAAATTCTAGTTAACATATACAGTTAAATTGGTTTCAGTTGTAGGATTTAGTGATTCATCATTTACATGCAACACCCAATGCTCATCACAAATGCCTTCCTTTTTCTTTTCTTTTTTTTTTTTAAGATTTATTTATTTATTTATTCATGAGAGACATGGAGAGAGAGAGAGAGGCAGAGACATAGGCAGAGGGAGAAGCAGGCTCCCTGGGAGGCCCCTGATGTGGGACTCAATCTCGGATACTGGGATCACACCCTAAACCAAAAGCAGACGTTCAACCCCTGAGCCACCCAGACAACCCATAAGTGTCCTCCTTAATACTCATCACCCATTTAGCCCCTCCCCTCAAGTCCCTTCATCATAGTTATTTACATTTACAGTTTCTATGTGTTTCCTCTATTGAAGAAACGATGACAAAAATAATATTGAAAAAAGCAAACCCTGTCCTATATACAGTATAATACAGTATGTCTTTTTTTTCTTACCATAAATCCTTAATAGAAAGAAGAATGGAAAAAAATAGTTGTATAACCTCTAATTAAACAAGGTTTTCTAGAATAAGGTTTTGTAGTCTGTGTCTACAAGGAGTACCTTGTAATTTTAGGTGTTTTGAGAACATCGTGATCAAAATATCTTACAATGCTTCATATCCTTGTACTTTTGGCCAATATCCATACTGAACTTTCCCTGTATAATCTATTCTTTTACTCTATCAAAGGAAAATATTGTACAGAACAAAGAACAGGAAGAAAGACTTTATTCAAGGCTATTTTAACAGAGGTGAGGAGCCAAGACAGAGTCTGAACTCAACTCCACTAAAACAAAGTACAGGATAACATTTTCTTTTTCTTTTCCTTCTTTTTAGGTTTATTTATTATTTGAGGGGGAAGGAGGAGTAGAGGGAGAGGGAGAAAATCTCTAGTAGGCTCCACACTCAGTGTGGATGTAGGGCTCCATCCCATGACCCTAAGCTCATGACCTGAACCAAAATCAAGAGTTGGATACTTAACCACTGAGCCACTCAGGATCCCCAGGATAGAATAACTTTTAAAAGCTGGGTTTGGGTGAATCTTAGGCCATCTATGTTTTTTAAATCTTCATGATAGGAGGCAGTTTTACAACTTGGAGAAAAGTGCCTCTGCCCACCAAAGCTTGGTTACTACTTTCTCACAAAAATTGAGAAAGAGGTGAGATACTGTTTTCCTTAAAGATTACATTTAAAAATGATGACTCCCAGATCCTTGGGAAAGACAAACCTGAGTTATGAAACTAGTAAGAGGCTTTTAAAAAGATTTACATCTCAAAGAAGTAAGGAAAGAGTTTACAGTTACACAGTTTTGTAAAGAAAGTGCTCTAAGCAAATGAAGGTCAGGTGCTTCAGATAGGAGGAAGCCTATCTCAAGTTTAGTCAAGCTGAGGCAAATTAAGGCTATCTTGGTCATACACTTTTGTTTCTCTCCTTTTCTAATCTTCCATTGATCCCATTCAGTTTAATCCTTTTACTTTGTGCATTTCCCCTTCCCTCCCAAAAGCTTCCATACATTGTTAATATATTGATGGTCTGCTATATCCATCTTTTTTGTTTTAACTGAAGATACAGCATTCCTTGTACCCCCCCTTTTTGAAAAACATAGATTTATTTATTTATTTACTTACTTATTTATTTATTTATTTATTTATTTATTTATTTATTTATTTATTTATTTATTTTAAAGAGAAAGAGATGGGGGAGGGACAAGCAGACTCTGAGCCAAGCACGGAACCTGTCATAAGGCTGGATCCCACAACTCAAGTCCATAACAGATCAGGACCTGAGTTGAAACCAAGAGTCAGATGCTCAACTAACTGAGACATTTAGGCACCCCACCTTGCAAACCCTTCTATTTGAGACTCTGTTTCCTCAAACCACAAGCATACTGAGATGGGGAGTAAGAGCCCATGACTGCTTTAGTTCTTCCCTTAATTGATATAGAAATTATATTTACTGCCTAAAACTCATACTTAACAGACTGTAGCAATATCTATTGCTTCTTGTCCCTGTGCTTGATCAACTTCCTGGATACTTCTGCAGATTTGATAAAATCACTGGCTTCAGACTTAGAATCATTTTCCTTACCCCTGTCCTGGATTATCTTCTATCACCTCAATGTCTAATCTCAATGTCTAATCTCAATGTCTAACCTCAAAGTTCCTGGAATTCCTCAAATTTAGAGACTTACTCTTTATTTCTATCCTAGTCATATACTTGGCTTTATTTTAAGCAACATTACTTTGCCTTTTTAAACCTTACATTATAGCATTATATTCTCTCACTGCTTGTTCCTGGTTTTCTGTTTTCTCCTTTGCTCCCACTATGGTTGTTTATTGAGCTTCAGTCCCTTTATTTCTTCCCCTACATCTCAGTTTATATTCTTCCTCACTTTCTATTATACTTGGCCTTAAGTTGAAAACTCCCTTGTTCATTTTTACTTTCTTGCCCAACTACCTAAGTAAGCCCTAAAACTTGCCTCAAACTCTCACCCTTCCATAAGTTTGTAGTTTTGCTAAACACACTTGAAAAAAATTAAACAATTGTAAAAATTAATGGAATAAGAATTTTGGGTTTGGATCTGTACTGAAATGACTAGGTCTTGGGAATCCTCTTACTCAGCTCTGTTATTCCCTACAGTAGGTATTTTAAAGACTCCAGAATAGCACTTTATTATAGCCATTCTTATTTTCTCTCATTAAAACATAGATACTGTTTATTTTGAAACATTAAAAAATATAGAGGAATATAGGTAAAACACTGAAATGACTTTCCATCTATTTACTAATATATAGCCAATAACTATACCATTCTTTTTCTAAACATTTTATATGTATAAAGAAATTCATAATGTGTAATATATAGTATTTATTTTGTGAAAGTAGAATCATACTTACAATTTTATATCCTGCTTTTTTTCCCTACCTAATATTTTGTCATGGATTTTTTTGTGTCATTACATGTTTTTCATTAGTAATTTTTTAAGGATGACATTATTTCAAAATAAAGATATATTATTTGTCCTTTTAATATTATAGGTGATATCTACTTTTTTGTTTAGTGTGACAGCAAGCATTATTTTTTATATTTGTACTGAAGCTTTTGGAAAGAGTTGTCTACTTGTAATTCTCTCCATTTTTCTTATCACCTGCCATATGGCTTCAACTTAGCACTCCAG